CAGCTGCCAGGGCTTCAGCGGCGGGTGGGGGGAGCGAAGAGCATCACCCAGGTGATGGTAACAGAGTCATTCCTGCCGCTCCTCGCTGTCCCCCAGCCTGGACAGCGTGGCTGCGCCCTGCCCTGCAGAGGGGTGACATCCCCCACTGCCTGCCTGTCCTCCCGCCTCTGCAAAATGGGAAGAGCTCCAAGGTATCAAAGCGTGGGTCAGAAGGCGGCAGCGGCGCTGGCAGGGCTCCATGTGAGAATGATTAAACACTTGCCAGGGGTTGGAGAAGGAGCATCCCAGTGCTCTAGGGCTTAGGGTTGGAGAACCATGGCGTGTGAACCTTGCAAAGCGAGAGGTCCCATTGGCACCTGCATCCTCTGCAGGTTCTGCCCTGGGAGCAGCCTGTTCCTCTTGTTCTTCCCTCGCAGCCCTGGGCAGCACTCAGCACCTCAGAGTGGCAGAGGGGAGAAACTGTGGCCTGGGGCAGTTCACAGTGCTGGTGGGCACAGGGAGGGACTGTGAGACAAGGACCAAAGGGTTGGTGTTGGCCTGAGGCAGGATAGGAGCTCCAGAGCTGTTACCAGCCTAGTCCCAGTGACATTAGTACCCCATATCATGGGGCCCCTGGGCATATGTTGTTGTGGGGTGCCAGGCTGGATGCACAGAATCCTGCCCAGGGAGGGATGGCAGAGCTCCTATAGAGACATCAGGGCTGCATGTCCAGACAGTGGTAGAAGCTCCTCTGTGCAGTGCCAGCATTGCCCACAGCACCAGGTCATGGCTGTGCCCTCTGAGTGACAGGTTGAGTCCCTGTGGGAGTGTCCTCAGCCACATGCTGTCCCCTGGCAGAGGCTCTACAAGCCTCTGCTTGTGCCCAGCCTTGGGAGCATCACCTGCCACTGTCACCTCGCACAGACCCTGAGACACAACTGGAACCTTTGGGTGAGGTGGGCACTCTGCTGTCCATGCTGCCCATCCTCACCCCAGCAGGTGCTGCCAGGTGTGCAGGACCATGCTCAAGTCTAGGAGGTGCCTTGGCAGAGACAAACCAAATGCTGCCAGCTCCATGCCCAGGGCACCTGGACAGGAGACCGGCATATGGAGTGCAAGGTGGGTGGACCCTGCTCTGCTCTGGGGTTGGCTCTGCTTGGGAGGACAGCCCAGAGCCTTTGCCAGGCAGGGCCTTTGCACTGCACTGCAGCCGTTGTCCCTGATACCACAGTGACAGGCGTGCTGTCGGGGGTCCCCTTTCCCATCTCTGCTCCTGGGTGATCCTCCTGGAGTACAGGGCACGAGCAGTCCCGTGCTGGGGTTCTGGCCCTTGCCAGAGGCGGTGGCTTGGCTGCACAGCCCCAGTCCCCTCCCAGCCCGAGCCCTGCAGCCATCCCGGGCGCGGGGCGTCCCCATCCCCCTGCGCCTTGCGGTAGCGTTCACTGCTTCGCGGAAAATGTGATGACTCGGCAGCCCCTGAGTTTCCAGGCCTGGTTCCAGCTGCTGGGTGGAGAAACTTCTGCAGTTGTCTTTAGGTTTGGCACAGCTGAAGGCTTCACGGTCAGGGGGGACTGGAGGGGAGATCTGGTATCCCCAGCTGAAGGAGGACTCTCCCTCTCTCTGTGTCCCTACCTGAGGTGGCACAGTGTCACTGAGGTGGCCGTGGGGAAGGCAGGGCTGGCACAGGATGAGCAGCTTCTGTCCCGGCTGGAGGCTGCTGAGCCCTGCGGCGCCAGCGATGGGGCCTGGGCTTGGCTCTCAGCAGTGCTTTGGGCTGTTTCCACTGCAGCCACAGCCCAAACTCCCTGAGCTGAGGGAGCACAGCCTCTGGGACCCGAGGTTAAATAAGCGGGGCTGGTATACACACGTGTCCCCATGGCAGGGGGTGACAGCTCGCTGTGCCACCAGGACATGCAGAGGCTGAGAAAGCTGCTGGGATGTCTCCTGGGCCATGCTCAGAGCCAGTCCCATCCTGGTGGGCAGCAAGGCATCCCCCAAGCCCGTCCTTATGTTGAGTGTGGTTACCTCCCCTCCTGGCTGGGGAGGTGTGGGGCAGTGGCACAGCATGGCAGCAAGATCCAAGGGAACATTGTGTTCCAGAAATCCCTGCTTGGCTGCTGAGCCCAGAGACCAGAGCAGGTAGAACAGACCCTTTGGTCCTTGGGCAAGCCAGTGTCCAGAGCAACAGCCTCTGTGGAGGAGCTGTTCCCCTGTGTAGGGCCACAGCAGCAAAGGCAGTGGCAGGAGGTGGAGATGGCTGGCTTTGCAGAGGCTGCTGCAGGGGCAGGTGCAGTAAGTTTGCACAGACTCAGATTCTCTCCAGCTGGGCCAGGCAGGCATAACCCAGCTGGAGTGTCCCAGGACTCCAGTGGCTAGGTTTGTCCTCTTGTTGGCCTGGAGCTGCTCTTTGGTATGCTTTGAAGCTGCAGGAGCCCCATCTTGACTCTAGCCTGGGAAAACCTCCTGTCCGTGCCACCACTGCAGGGGACACTGCCTTTGACACTGGGGCATGCAACATCTTTTTCCACCATTTTCCTTCGAAATCAAGGGTCCCTCCTGTCCCATGTTCCTGGATCACAATTCTCAGCCCAGCAAGGCCCTCCAGCCCCTGCTTCATCAGCCAGGGGCTCCTCAAATTCAGCTCTTCCACCACCTGCCACACTCCAGGGACACTACAGTCCCCAGCACTGCTTGCATTACCTCTATCCCAGCCACCCTCCAGGCTGCTAATGGCAGCAAACAACCCCATGCTCCCCATCCACACTGTGGTCACCTATGCTGGCAGCCTGCACCTCACAATGGATCTGCGCGGGGACATCCACTGAAAGCCTCTTTGCAAACGTGTTTTGGGGACCAGCCAGCTGTAACCTCCTTGATCCTGCCCTGGGCCCCTGGGTAAACCTGGCAAACCCTCACTGCAGTGAGCAGCTCCAGCCTCCTCCCAGCCGGCTGCAGCTGCCCAGCTCTGGAAAGGGGCCTTTAAAAACAGTCCCCAGCCCACTGGAGACGAGAGCAATCAGGCCCAAATCTCCCCCTGTCTCATTTTTGGGGAGGTACTCCCATCTCAGAGGCTGGAGGACCTCACCCCAGTACCTGTGAGCACTCACCTTGCACTCAGGTCATTGGGGGTGGCCAGCTGCCCATCATGTCAGTGTCCAGCAGCAGGGATGGGTATCCCCAGAGCTGGCTGTGGCCCTGGTTGATGGGTCAGCCTCATCACCCCAGGTGCTGGTGGATCTCAGTCCCAAATGCTTATCAGGCAATCTCTAAGAGCCACAGCTGTTACCCTGGGCATCTATCACTTGAGCAGATGTACACATGGCAATTTTTGGCATTCAGCCCTTGGAGCTGTTAAAGTTAAAAATCTTAAAGTTAAAAATCTTGCCTGTGCTAAAGCCAAGGCATTGCCTTTTGCTCCCACCATGATGTCTGTGTTCAGGGTGCAGGGGAAGGGTAGGTCTGGAGACAGAGTGAGATGAAGAGGCTTTGGTGGCAGAGCTGTACCTTTCTGCTGGGGGAACATCTGAGTCCTAGACAAAGTGACAAACAAGCCCTCACTGCTGGGCTGAGCTGCAGGGCCAGGGCTCCTTTATCCTCAGCCCACTCCAGGCAGGGATCTCTGCAGAGACGTGACTGTGACCACGGACCCAGACTCCTGGCACCAGTCCCATTTGGCCAGGACCTGGGAAATTAACTGTTGCCCATGCAAAGGGAAGGGGATTCATGTTCACTGTCCCCTTTCCCAGCTGGCTCCATCAGCCTGGGGGGTATCAGAAGGGTTGGGGTATGGCCCTGGGGTCTTAGACCAGGTCCCCCGTGTCCTCCTCTCTTCTTAACTGCATGCAAGAGCTGGAGCTTTCCCATGTCTTTGTCGAGATACTGGGGGTTGTTTTGTCTGTCACAGGTCCCACCTGAAAAACTTTCTGAGTCTCTTGTCGAGGGATCCTGGTGTTATAGAACACAGGTGTGGGATGTGTCCTACTCTGACAGCTCGGTGGCTCATAGTAATGAACAGAGCTTGAATAGCCCCCATAGGTGGCCGTGCTGGCCACTGGGATAGACTCCCACGGCCACAAAGGCTGTACTGGCTTCCGGACTGATGCATCACTGAACCTCTTCCAGCACTGTCCCAGATCTCCAGCGCTGATGTGAAGCCAATGGCATCTCTGCTCTGAATGCGAGCTGGCACTCGGCCACGCATTGCTCAGACACCGCACAGCACCGCAGAGCACGGCCCGGCACAAAGCCCGGGGGCACAGCCTGATCCCCGGGCAAGCCCCCAAAGGACAGCGCCTTCCCACCCGGGCACAGCTCGCTTCGGCCACCCCCTCAGATGGGCAAAGCGTGGTTTGGGCACCTCCGTGCCACGCCCAGAAGCCTCTCCAAGTGTGCACTGCCCCCGCCGCAGCCTGCGGGCCGCCGTGCCATGGGCACGGCACAGGAACACCCCAATCCCTGCCCTCGGCGTACCCAAACCCCGCTCCCCAGCCGCACCTGCGCGGGAATTAAAGCACACGGAGCCGAAGGTGCGGCACAGAGAGAGCCGAGGGTGTGCAGCACTACACGGCCCCTGCAGCATCCCAGCCCACCGCTGCTCGCTCCTTGCCTCCCTCCCCGCGCTGGGGGCTGGTTCGGGCGCGCCCTCCCAGCCTGGAGCCGCCATCAGTCCAGTGCTGTCTCCTCCCCTCCCGCTCCAGCTCCCGCCCCTCCCGCTCCAGCTCCCGGAGCTGCTGCTGCTGCCGGCGCGGGCTGCAGCCCGGCAGAGCCCCCGCCGCAGAGCTCCCCCGGGACCCCGGCCAGCAGCGAGCATCCCACCCGCAGCCGGCAGCTCTGCCCGCAGCCGCTCTCTCCGGGCCAGCTGCGGAGTCACCGCAGGGGACACGGACCTGCGGCGACAACAGCAAATGCGCCCAGCGAGAGGCAGCCGCCCCCGCTGGGCTTCTCCCGGGCCGGAGGCGAGCTCTGCCCTGGCCCAGGGACAGCGGGCCCGGCCGAGGTGCCACGCGCTTGCCGGTCCCCATTGATGCTGTCTTGTCAGCCGCGCTTGGAAAGCATGTGGGGACACGGCTCCTGACTGCCGTGGGACAAGGGACTGGTTGGGGACAGCCGCTGCTAAGAAACTGCCCCCCTCATCTCAACTTGTCATCCCTCTGATCTGCTGCCACCAGGTCCCCCATGAGGTCACTGCTGCTGCCGCTGCTGGTGCTGTGGGTGCAGCGGCTCCCAGGGACCCTGGCAGAGGTAAGCGCTCGGCTCCCCAGCCCCCGCTTTGGCTCCGCAGCTCTTGGCTCGCAGCGAGGGGCTGCCTCGCCGGGGGACCCGGGGCTGCGGGTGCCTCTCTCTGGCCATGCAGCTGCGCCACATCAGCGGCGTTCGCCATCCCGAGCGGCGCTTCCCCCGCCGCCCCTCGCCCTTGGGACCCTGGGCCACTGCCCGGGACCGCAGCGTGTCCCTGTTGCCGTGGCTGCGCGGCTCCTCGCCCGGAATGGCCCGGCTGCTGTTCCCAGCGGTCCCCAGCCGCTTCGCTCTCCTCTGCCAAAAGCCCCGCGATCGCTGGGGAGCCGGAACGAGTCTGCCCGCAAAGCCGAGCTTAAAGAACGCCAGGAAGATGATGGTTCTGCTGTGGCTTGTTGCAGGACAGGGAGTGGGCAGGAGACATTTCCTTTAACGTGGGGGGAACTGACGCCAGTCCGAAGCCAGGCACACCCTCCTGGGAGCAGGCTGTGAGAGAATGGGTGTCCCCGCTGCCGGGGAGAGTGCCAGGGGCTCTGGGGACTCTGTTCTGCCCGTGGGGATGGCAGCTGAACTGAGGTCTGTGGTCCCTTCATCCTTTCCCCTTGATAGTGGGAAGGGGGTGTGCCTGTAGAGGGAATGATATTGCCCGGCCCTGTCCAGAGCTCAATCCCTCCCTCTCTCTCCACATCTTCTCCTGTGCCCTGGCTGGTTTGGTGGCTTCTTCCCCTGTGGGCATAGCCCCATGTTGGTTGGTGTGCAGCCCCAGGACCCCCAAGCTGCATGTGCCAGGTCTGTCTCCCTGCCTTGGCTAAGGGAGGTCTGAGAAGTGACCCAGGCTCTCCTAAGAAAATGGGTCACAGCCCCCAGATGCCATGTCAGGGTGGGACCCGTGCCTGGCCAGCACGACCCCCTGGCCTGGCACAGGGCACCTCTCCCAGGTGTTTGTTTCAGTTTGGTTTCAGCTCAGACCCCCTCATCCTACCCCTCTCTCACTTGACACCTTCAATCCCCCAGGACGAGGGATGCAACCACACTGCACAGGCAGGACTGGAGGGCCAGGATGCACGTGGTGAAAGAGGTGAGCCACAGGAACGAGGTTCCCAGGCTGAGGAGGGTGGGATGGTCTCAGTACCTGGAGGGGTGAGATGAGCACATGTGCTGCACCAGGACTCTTGGAGTTAAGAGTAGCTTTGTAAATACTCTGCTTTAGGCTAACTACAGGCTACAGATCATGCCCAGGGAAGGGGGAGAGTTAATCCTGTCTTCTCCAGCAACCAGCTGCATGGGGGCACTGTGAGAGATGGACAAGGCTCCAGAGCTCCCTGCTTCCACAGAGCACTGGGTGGGCTCAGCAGCAGCACAGCTACAGGTGCCCTGCTCGGAGCCTTGGAGTTGCCTGGGTAGGATCAGAATCTGTAAGGCAGACCCACAGCTGCTGTAGGCCTGGAGCCAGCACAGTGCCCACATGGTATCAGCCTGTGCCAGTGAGAAATCACTTGGGTGATCCACAGGCACCTATCAGGGCATGAGGTGTATCTGGACGTGCTGTCTGTGATGTGGTTAGTGGGAACATGAGCAGTGCTGGGGTCACAGGCCTCTGGCCCATTTCAGGTACATTTGTGCTGCAGATGTGAGGAAGGTGACAGAGGGAGGCAGGTGCTGAAGCTGCTGGAAACTCAGAAGCAGAGAAACATGGGCTGAGAACTCATATCTTCAGGAGATAAGGAAGAGCTTGCAGTACCAAACCATCCCTGCCTGAGCACCTGGCAGGACAGTGACCTGTGGGCTGCCTTCAAATCAGCTGTGCCTGGTGCTCCAGGTGTCTGCTGACAGCCAGGGTGGCCCAGGGCAGCTGGCCCAGCTGTAGACACCTCACCCATGGGAACCCACTACGTTGAGCTAACCCTTCCTGAGCTGTCTGATCCTAAATATGCACTTGAACTTCTCAGGGATGGCACTGAGAAGGCGCTTCCCAGGGGCACTACGTGCTCCTGCTCATGTCCATCTGATATGCTCTGATCCCTTTGCCCTCACCAGCAGCTCCAAACCACAGCATTGCATGGAACAGAAGTTGCACATAGTTCTGAAAGTGTTCAGCTCTGGGAAAGACACACAGCTCCTGAGCAGTGCCAGCAGTGTCCCTGCCCCGGCCTCACCCCGCACTGCTCCTCCCTGGCTGTAAAGGGTGCCCATGGCAGGCCTCTGGGGCACACATTGTGCTTGGTTCATGCTGTCTCACTGTGCCAGACCCTAGGTAAGCCTGTCATAACATGTTGTACACCATAAATTTTAAGTGCTCATTATTACAGAAATGTCTTATTAGCACTAGAGCTGTCCTGGCATTTTCCAAAGGCTGAGAGCAATACAAAGCTCAGGGATGTGGCACCTGGGGACTTGGGTTAGTGCTGGACTTGGCAGTGCTGGGGGAACAGTTGGATCCAATGATCTTAAAGGGCTTTTCCAATCTGAATGGTTCCATGACTGACAGCAAGGCTGAGGATGGGTGTGTATAACAATCTGCTGGAGATATTGTGGGGCAAAGATGGACCCTCCCCTAGTCACACCACCAGCTTGGGCCTGACAGACAGGCTCTTCCTGGCTCCTGTTGTGTAGGTGACTCCTGAGCAGCTCTAAGGGCAGGAATTCAATACCAGTTTCAGCCACTGACCCACCAATCTGGCCAAGCCCTGTGTGTCACTTCCCTGTCCCCATTCTCCACTGGGATGCCACAGCACTGGCCCCACACGCCCCAGCACACTGACCTCACTGCTGAAGCACAACCAAGGCAGGGACACAGCTCAGCAGGGCCTGGGGCCAGACTGGTCCCACATTCCCTCCATGTATGCAGTGTCCCAATCTTCCCATGTGACCTCTGAACTGGGCAGGATGGGGACTCATTGTCTGGATCCCCCCAAAGCAGCCTTTGCCCCCTCCTCTGTCAGAGCCCACAAAGAGGCAGAGACTATTGCAGGGACCATAATGGCCCCCCTGCCATATCCATCCTTCCCCCTAACTGGCCACTGTCTTGCTTCTCCATGGTGGACCCAGAGCCTTCAACATCTTTTGGGCAGGCTTAAAGGTGATGAGCAATGGATTATACCCAGCCAGGGAGCTTCTCTGCCTTAAACCAGGACAAAGCACATGATGACCTAAAGCCTTCTGGTCTTTCTCCAGTAGAGTTCCATGCTTAGGAGCATCTCTTTGACAGCTTCCTTTGACCTGAGTCCATGAAGGTTTCTGAACATTGCTGTGTTTCCCAAAGGCTGTTCAGAGACCTCAGGGTCAAGGCAGTGGCCAGTGCCTGGTGTACCCCAGCAAGGGTGGGTGGCTGGGAGCTGGCCCTGCAGGCTGGCACCCAGCACCACCAATCCCTGCTGAGAGTTTTGGATTTGCCTCTGCAGGCACCCTGCTGAATGTCAGTGTGAGTGACCATGACCGCTCAGACTCCCTCCTTCTGTCCTGGGATGAGCCAGAGGGAGGTGCCAAGGGATATTTGCTGGCCCTCTCCTCCCTGGGGTCAGACACACCGCTGCAGAATGGGTCTGCTGGACCCAACACCACCAGCTTCTGGTTCCATGGGCTGACTCCTGGCACACGCTACGAGATCGAGGTGACAGCCACGCTGGCCTGCATGGACACCACCAGCCAGACCATCACAGCACAGACAAGTAAGGGCTCCCCAGGACCTCAGTGCTCCTGCCAGTGATTGTTGGGCTGTTTGGAGTCCTACTAGTTTGTGGGAGGTTGGGCTTTTCCTCACTTTCACAAGAATTGGAGTCCTTCCTAGGTCCCCAGACTCTTGGAGTCATTCCCTCATCCTTGTGGAGGAAGGTCCTGCCTCTGCACCTTGTATGGGCTGGGCTCATGCTGTACCTTCTCCTCCTTGAATAATGGAGGTAATGATGGACCAGCCCATCATGTGGCTTGCAGAGAGCTGAGGGGTGGAAAATGTCGTGCCTCTAGGCATGAAATAGCCCCTAGGTTTAGAAAGAGCTTTCAAGGAAGGAGCATCTGCTCCACAATTTTGGCACATCTCTCAATTACTGCTCACCCCCAGGCCTTGCTCTGTGCCAAGGGCTGGAGAAGGAGACAGGGCTGGTGGCTCTGTAGCTCAGGTGGGGATGGCAGTCCTTGCCTGCACCTCTCCAGAAGATCCTTGAGTAAATCAGTGCAGGTGAAGGTGGGAAACCTAGCAAAGGAGAGTAAAGCTGGAGGGAGGAGATTGCACAGTGGAAGGGCTGGTGTCAGGCAGCAGTGGCAGAAGCAGAAGCTGGTTGTCACAGAAGGGCAGGTGGCAGGACCCACAGGGCCAGCAGAAACAGAGGATGTGTCAGCAGGTGAGCTTCCAGGTGATGATAGCTTCACCTTTATGTGTTGGCCCTGACCAAGCCTCCCTGCTCAGTTCAGAGAAACCACTGAGACTGATCCAAGGGGATGGTGCAGCCCACACAACCCATGGGAGGCTGGTGAGTGGTCAGGAAGGTGATGGGGCTGTGCTTGGGCAATCCTTGCTGGAGCCCCTCTACTCTGGAGACAGGCTGAGAGAGCTGGGGTTGTTCAGTCTGGAGAGGAGAAGGCTCCAGGGTGACCCTAAAATGCCTTTTAGTACTTAAAGGAGATTTGAAAATAGAGAAATGGAGGCTTTTTACAAGGGCAGATGGTGGCAGGACAGGAGGGAAGAGCTTTAAACTGACAGAGGAGAAGTTTAGATCAGATCTTAGGAAGAAATTCTTACCTGTGAGGATGGAGAAGCCCTGGCAGAGGTTGACCAGAGAAACTTTGGTTGTCCTGTCCCTGGAAGTGTCCAAGGCCAGGCTGGACAGGGTTTGGACAAGCTTGGGATAGTGGGAGGTGTCCCTGCCCATGGCCAGGGGTGGGACTGGATGAGTTTTAGGGCCCCTTCCAACCCAAACCATTCCAGGATTCTGTGATTGGGTCCTGTGACTCTGGCTGGCAGCACCTCAGCAGGCAAAGGCGAGTGCCACCAGCCTGTGAGCAGCTTGCCAGCTCAGGCACTCCCAGGCCAACAGTGTCTGTGTCGTGTCCCATGCAGGTCCAGCACCTGTCCTTAACCTGAGCCTGAGCAGCGGGGGGAGCTCGGCCTGGCTGCGGGCAGCCTGGGCACACGGGCACGGCCAGCGGGACGGCTACAGCCTGGCACTGTGGCACAGCGAGTCCCAGAGCCTGGTGAGGAACGTGTCCCTCCTGCCCAGCGCCTCCACCTTCCTCTTCGACGGGCTGCTGGCTGGCAGTGAGTATGCCCTGAAGGTCAGCACGCTGGCTGGGTCCAGGCAGGCCAGCACCAGCATCCACCAGTGGACAGGTAGGGAGTGCTGGGTGTGCCTGCTCAAGGAGGGAGGGGTGGTTGAAAGGATGCAGCACATGTGCTGGGCTGGCAAGGGGAGGAGGTGTCCAGGCTTGGGATGGAAAGTTTGTGTATGGTGGGGAACAGGTGGAGTGTTTCACATCCCCACTGTGAGCCAAGTGCCTGGGCCAAGGGGAAGACTTTGCACCTTGCTCCTGCCTTCCAGCACCCATGGCTTGGATTTCTCTGTTCCCAAGGGAGAGGGGCAGTGTGGGGATTCTGGATCTCTTGGCTGCTGAGAGCTGCAGGAGTGCTGCAGCACCCAGTCTGCCACCCCTCTGCCCTGCAGCCTGAAAAACGTGATAATGTGGAGGGACCTCAGGGGCCCTCCAACCTGTGTGGGAGGTGGCACGGGAGGGACATCCCTCAGTAGACCCCTACCAGACCTTCAGCCCCCATGCCACAGAGAGCTGCTTTGGGCACCGGGGCCTCTGGGGAGAGAGGAGGGTCCAGGGACCTGCAGCCGCATTGCTGAACCTTGTGTGTCCTGCTCTTCCCCTCAGCTCCCTCCATCCCCACCCAGCTGAGGCTCAGCCCCGTTTCCAGCACCAGCCTCGTCGCCTCCTGGGCTGGTGCTGCAGGGGCTGCCTGGCTCCACCTTGAGCTCCGTGACCTCCTCACTCAGAAGGTCAGCACGACCCTGTCAGCCAGGAGGGGCCTCAGCAGCTACACCTTCCAGCACCTCCACCCTGGCACTCAGTACTGGCTGGGGCTCAGTGCCACAGCTGGCTCCTACACCGTAGTGGGACCCAATGCCACTGCCTGGACATGTAAGTATGAACTTGGTGGCCCCAGCTTTCTCCCTGCCTCTGGTCCAGCCTCTGAATCCAAAGGTCTCCTGACAAAGCCTTGGGTGCACAGGGTGATTTTGCTTGGACCTGGCTGAAAGCTGCTCCAGGACCCAGCTCTGGGGCACTGCTATAGTGGGGCCAGCAAATCCCTTCAGCAGGTGGTTCCCCTGTGCTGCTGCTTCTCCCTGGGATGGAGTGGGAGCAGCCTGTGGCCTCTCCCCTAGAAGGAGGATGGAAGGGCAGCAGATCTCACTGGTGTTCAGTGCTGCTCGGGCTTGGCTCTCATGTGCCTCAGGGCTGTACAAGGGCAGCAGAAAAATGGGGCAAGGGGCAGCACTTGAGCTGGTTTGAACTGGAGGCCTCTGGGAGGGGTTTATAGAAGAATGAGAAAAACTTTTTACATGGGCATCAGTTTACAGTGATAGGACAAGGGGTGAATGGTTTTAAACTCAAATAGGAGCGGTTTCGATTAGAGGTTAGGAAGAAATTCTTCCCTGTGAGGGTGCTGAGGCTGACACAGGTTGCCCAGAGCAACTGTGGCTGCCCCACCCCTGGAAGTATCCAAGGCCAGGTTGGACAGGGCTGGAGGGCTGGGATAGTAGAAGGTGCCCCTGCCCATGGCAGGGAAGTGAAATTAATGAGCTTCAAGGTCCTTTCCAACCCAAACCATTCCACAATTCTATGATTCTATGAAATGGATTTTCAATGCTCTTTAACTGTTGTCAAGGAAATGTTGTGGTAGCACCTGATAACTTCGTCCTGGTGGATGTTTCCAACATGATGGATGCTGTGCAAATACAGCAAAGAATCCAGAAGCCTCTGGCAGGTCAAAACAGTGAGGTCAGCCTTCCCTTTCCATTCCTCCAGCCCACTTTCTGCTCTGGCCTCAGGCTGATGATGAGGCCCCCCGGCCCCTCTGGGAGAGGGGGATATTCCTGGTGATACCATGTCCGTAGCCCAGTAAAAAGTTCCAGTCCTGAACTTGCTCTCCCAGATGTTTCCAGGAAAACCAGAAGGGAAATAGAGAGGGCAGAGCAGAGTCACACCGAGCACCAGGGTAACGTTGGTGCTGAAATGATGGAGGTGCCAAGCTGCAGACTCAGAGCTGCTGTGGTCAGTGACTTACCCTGGCATGGGCCAAACACTGGTGATGTGTGTGCTGGAACGACCCGGGTGCCACCAAGTGTCAGGTCTCCAGCTCCTTTCTGCTCTACCTGCCAGCCTGGGAAGCTGGTGCCTGCTCCCTGCTGACTCTGCAGATGGGATTTTGGAAGGCCTCCAGAGCTCCAGCTGGTTTGTGTCTGCTCTGGAGTGAGGCTGATCCCTGCTGTTGCTGTCTGCAGCTCTGACCTGCTCCACTGAACAAAATTCCCCCATGCCAGACACATGAGCCAGGGGCGTCTGGCCAGGAGTTTGGTCCAGGCCAGTTCCTGGGAATATCAGCAAGCTCATGATGGGATGTGAATGGAGTGGAGGGAGACTTTTAGGAATTTCTCAGCAAGGCTGCCAGCTTTGTCTGGACTCTGTTAGTTCAGGAATGCTTGTGCTGGGGAGTGCAGATGACTCGCTCCAAAAGGATGTATGTAACCCTGCCAGGAATGAGGCTCAGGAGAGTAAGGGGTACAGAGTACCCCATAACCCTGACTCACACAATCCTGTTCCCTTCCAGACCCCCTGAGCCCTGGCAATGTGACCCTGAGCAGTGCAGAGGAGCAGAACTCCTTAGAGGCTCGCTGGAGTGTCCCAGAGGGACAGAGGGAGTTCTACCTGGTGACACTGCGAGAGGGAGAGGACAGTGCTCCAACGAGGAACATCTCTGTTGGTGGGGACAATGACCATGTCACCTTCCACGGGCTGAGCCCTGGCCAGCAGTACTCTGTGCAGGTGGTGGTGGTGGCAGGGCCGTACAGGGCATCAGCACACAGCACAGCAGCCTGGACAGGTGAGCAGAAAGGCCGTGCATGGCCCTTGAGGCTGCTCCTGCTGCCTGATGAAGGGGATGCTGCCTGGAGGGGGCTGGGGGTGAGGCAGGGACAGGGACAGGGACAGGGACAGAGCAGCCGGGACACCTGGTCTCAAGAGTAGGTTGTGGATCAGAGCAGCAAAATCTGCCTCCCCTCAGTTTATGGTGAGGGGGGAGCTCAGAGGTCCGGGGCAGGCTTGTGCCAGCAGGTGTCGGGCACAGATCAGGACCAGATCCTGCTTTGTGCCTTCTGGACTCTGATGTGTTGCAGGCAGCTTCCTCCCTTCCCCTCAGCACAGCTGGATGGGTGGGCAGGGAAGCACCACCAGCCCCCCCAGAGGGGGCATCTCCCTGTGCTCAGTCTCTCCTGGGTGACTTGTGGAGCCACAGCTGGTGCTGTCCCTGAGCTGCCACTCTGGGAAGGGACAATTGGAGCTGTACGCAGTGTGGGGAGGTTCCCACCCAACCCATGGTGTTGGGAGCACTAAGAGCTCTCTCTGCAGCCCCTTCTGCCCCATGTGGGATGGAGACAAGTGCAGTGTCACAGAATCACAGAACTTTTAGGGTTGTAAGGGACCTCTGGAGATCATCTAGTCTAGGGTCACCTAGAGCAATTTGAAAAGCAGAAAATACCTTGTGAAAGCAATCTTCCTGCCTGATGCACTGCCCTGTGTCATGCTGTCCTTTTCCCTTGCAGAACCACAAGCACCATTTGGTGTGAGCCTGTCCAGCCAGGGTAGCCCCCACAGCCTGCTGGCCAGCTGGGAGGAGGCCACAGGGGAGGGCTATCTGCTGGTCCTCAGCCTTGCAGAGCACCCTGTGAGGAACAGCTCCTTGCTCAGGGGTGTCACGAGCTTCACCTACAAGGGCCTCCACCCTGGCACCCTCTACACCTTTGAGGTCAGCACCGTGGCTGGGCCCTACACATCCTCACCCCGGCGCGTCTCCAACTGGACATGTGAGTGCCACAGCCCTGGGTTCCCGCTAGATCCTGCCCTTCCCTTGATGTCGTACCTCAAGGCACTGACAGCACACATCTTCTACAGCTTCATCCAATAACTGGGAAAAAGGCTCAGGAGGAGGCAGAGGTGCTGCTGGATGTGTCTGACCCTGCTCTGTTTCCCAGTCACCAGGCACAAGGGGCAGCTGAGCCCAGTGCCCTTCTACTCCTTGTCCCACCCTCCTGTGGCACTGCTCAGGCTGCCACTGCCTTGAGCCACCCCCTCCACCATCCAGCACCTCCTCCAGCACCAGAACAGTTTTCTCTTTGTGCCAGATTGAGCTGTGCTGGCCCAGTCCCTGATGGACTGTGTGTGGGTGTCACACCTGGATGCAGGTTTTCCCAGGGAAGGGACTCCTGTCTCAGCACATTTGGAGTTGCACTTCTGCCAGGTGATTCTAGACCTTTCCTTTTCTAGACCCTTTGCCCCCAGAGCAGCTGACCCTCAGCAATGGGGGCCACAGCACCTCTCTGCAAGCCTCCTGGAGAGCAGTTTCCTCTGGCAGCACTGGCTACACAGGGACCCTCCGAGAAACCAAGTCACAGGAGCAGGTCAGGAATGTGACTGTGGGGAGTGACTGCACAAATGTCACCTTGGAGAACCTGGTCCCTGGGCGACAGTACACACTGGAGATGGCTGCTATGGCTGGGCCTTACAGATCCCCTGTGCAATCAGCCACCGACTGGACGTGTGAGTGTGACAGTCCCACCTCACCCTACTGCAGGTCACAGCCACCACCTGCCCACGAGAGCAGAACCCTCATGGCGTGAGAGTGGCCCCTGTGTGGGGAGGAGGAGAATCATAGTCAGGGGTGTATAGACAGAATGGGCACTCAACTGGAGCCACATTCAGCCATGTTGGAAGTAAAAGGGTCACAGTGCAGGAGGAGCCCATCACTGAACAGAAAGCATTGCCAAATGTCATCCGGGGAAGGTGGGGACCTGCTCCCGTGTCTGCTGTGCAGCAGGAGCTCTGGCTGCTCTGGGTTTGGTGTGCTGACTCCTGACCTAACCCCAGCAGGCACAGACAGTGGAGGGTGCCCAGGACAAGTGTGTGCAGCCCCCACAGCACACCCTGCCTCCTCTCACTGCCTGTACAGCCCCCACAGCACACCCTGCCTCCTCTCACTGCCTGGCTGTCTCTTCTCTCTCAGACCCCCTGGCTCCAGCTGGTGTGACGCTGACCAACACCCGGCGCCCAATGGGGCTCTCGGCCTTCTGGGAAAAGGCTGCTGGTGATGTGGACCAGTTCCACCTCCAGCTCTACAGCAAGAGCCATGCAGCACAAAGGAACATCTCAGTGGGGCCAAACACCCACAACTTCACGTTCCTGGGGCTGTCCCCTGGCACTCAGTACTTCCTGAAGGTGACTGTCCTCGCTGGCCCATACAGATCCTCATCACACTTTGCCACTGAGTGGACATGTGAGTCAGAAGTATTCCGAGTCTCTTGCAGGGATGGGACACCCTGGCACTGCCTGCAAGACTAGCAGTGACACAAACTTGTCTGGGTGGAGGGAGGGCTCTGGTGAGACCTGTATGAGCCCTGTCATAGAAGACAGAGCACATGCCATAGGTTAGGTGCTGTGTACTGGGCCTTTCCCCAGCTTTTCCCCAGTCAAGTTGAACCTTCTGCCTGGACCACTGGTCATCTCTGGGCCAGCCAGAGACTGGTGGGAGAGGAATGTGATAGAGGAAGCACAGAGACCTGTATGGGCTTGCTGCTCCCTATCTGTGCAGTGGAGCAGCCCACAGGGAGCTGAGTGCTCTCAGCACCTGCCTGCCAGCAGCACCCTATGGACATGCACAGGCAGCTTGCATGTCCCCCAGGAGAACAGCACATCCGGTGGTCAGGTGCCCTCACTTCTCTTGCAGCCCTGTGCAGAGGTGCAGGCTGTGCCCTGGCTTCTCCAGGTGGCTCCTCCACCACCTCATGGGTCTCCATGCTCTGCTTTCCTCCAGATCCACTGTCCCTGGCTAACGTGAGTGTGCAGCCTGGCCGGAAACCCCAGGAGCTGCACGTGAGCTGGGTGGAGTCCGGAGGTGGCAGAGATCACCTGGTACAGCTCTCAGTGGCTGAGTCCCTGTCCATCATCAGGAATGTGTCTGTCCCCCGTGGAGTCACCCAGCTGGACCTGGAGGGGCTGGTGCCAGGCTCCCGGTACCGTGTGGAGATCATTTCCCAGGCTGGGCCTCATCGCATCTCGTCCCAGACTGCCATCGGCTACACCGGTAGAACACAGCTCCCCTGCTCCCACAGCCTTAGACACTGTGTGGATGCCCACAGTCCTCAGCTCCCAGCTCCATTCCCAAGCTAGAGTCAGCTCTGAGCACCCAGGTTTGTCCCCAGTGACGCTGTTTCTCTCCCGCAGTCCCACTGCCTCCTCGTTCCCTGTCTGCCAGCCCCGTCGGCATGGCCTGGGCTCTGGCTGTGCACTGGGACACTGCTCCTGGGCACAGGGATGGATACCTGCTCAGCGTGCTCCAGGAGGGCTCTTCTGCACCACCAAGGAACCTGGAAGCAGGGAAGGACAGCACCAATGTCACTGTGGCACAGCTGGAAGCAGGAACGTGCTACCTTGTCAGGATCTGGGCCGTGGCTGGGCCCTACCGCTCCCTGCCCGAGAACGTCACCGGCTGCACAGGTCAGCATCTGTGCCACCCCCGGGCAAAGGATCAATGTTGGCACCTGGAGAGGAGAGGAGAGGAGAGGAGAGGAGAGGAGAG